GGAGAAATGGAAGAGAAGAAATTACAGCATGACTAAGAGGGGTGTTTTCTCCTTCACCCTCTGTCTGTCTCTCTCTGGCGAGTACATGTACCCTCTGACAGATATTTTAAAAAATAATAAATAAGGGGCCAGCAGGTTGCATAGTGGTTAAGGTGCTGGACTCCCACATGGCTGACCATAGTTCAAGTCCTGGACCTGGCAGCTTAAAACTCACACCAAGCACGTGTGCATACATGCCCAGAATCTCGAGAGGAAGATGAGAAGGGCTTCATATGTCAGAAAAACATTGAAAATAGGGGCCATCAGGTGGCATGAAGGTTAAAGTCACTGGATCCAAAATGGCCAGCTACACAATTCGAGTCCCAGACCCAGCAGCTTGAAAATCATACGAGGCACATGTGCATGCTTGCCCAAAATCCCAAGAGGAGACTGGAGAAGGGATTGGAGCATGACCATCCCCTCTGAGGGATGAGTTCTTATTTTCCCTGATTCTCTGTCTCTGTTTCCAGCAAGCCATATGCACCCTATAGCAAACATTTAAAAAAAAAAAATCGAAAATATAAAGGAGAAATTAGAAATCTTTTGTCTTGAGAACAGGTTATTAAATTATAACTTAATATCTTATCATTTAAAAATTATATCGGCCTGCTAAGTACATCTCAGAGTATTTACTGTTTATTTACCTCATTGTCCAACCTGGGTCACTTTAAGAGCGAAAGGGTCACTATTATTGATCTGTAGAACGCTGAGCATAGACTGAAACTGCACTAGGCAGACAGGACCTGACCACCTAACCATAAACAGTGACCAGCCTGTACCTCAGTATTCGGTTCATTTTTATGGAATACAATTTTGGAGAAATGTTATAATTTATGAAATGTTGATCATTTTCAAATAGGGGATTAAGAGTGATTTTTTTTAAAGTTTCTTTTATGAATGTGTGTTGAAAATAGCACTTTTTTTTTTCTAATGCCAGAGGGCATATGCTCTTGCCAGGGACAGACAGCAGGAGAAGGAGAGAGCATTCCCCCCAATGGGGTACGATCACCCTGTAATCCCTTCTCTTCCATCTCTTCATCCTTTTGGGACTTTGGGCATGTACGCATACTTGTCTGGCATGTTTTTCAAGCCACTGGGGCTAGGATTTAAACAAAGTTGATCATATGGGATCTATCTTCCTGAACCACCAGAGTATGAAGCCAGCCCTGAAAAACGGTTAGCTTTCTAATAGATTTACCTACTGTACTGCAGACAGTTAAAACCATTCTTTTTTTTTTTTTAATTATTATTATTCCTATTACATCATTTGAGGGCTTGAAAGACATCAATAAAAATTTAGTCATAAAGGGCTGGCTGGCCTTTTTAATGTTCTCTCTTTTTTTTTTTAAACATCTCTCTGCAGTGTTATACCCTCAAAAAGAAAAACAAATCACAAAAGTAATCTATTGGGGTCATCAGGTGGCATGGTAGTTAAAGTGCTAGATCCCACATGGCCAACTGCACAGTTCAAGTCTCAGACCTGGTGGCTTGGAAAATACGCCAGACATGTGTCTTTGCATGTCCAGAGTCCTGAGAGAAGAATGAGGAAAAGGGATTGCTGCACGATCATCCCCCCGGGGATGATTTCTCACTTTTCCTCTCTCTCCTGTCCGTCTCTCTGGCAAGGGCATGTGCCCTTATAGCAAAAACTTTTAAAAAAGAAAGTAATTTATAAGTAGAGAGGGTTAAAGATGCCTGACACTCTTGGTAATTTGACACTAATGTTTATAGGGTGATGATATGAAAATCTTGGGACTTTTCCTCTCCTAATCCAAATAGAGGCTGAAAAGACATGAACAGTTTTAAAAATGTGTTTTTAAGACTTAAGTCTAGATCATGTTAGAAATGTTAGAAAATTAGAGATGGGCCAGCCCATGGCATGGTGGTTAAGGCAGCTAAATCCCATGTGACCAACTGCATGGTCTGAGTCCTGGAACCAGCAACCTGAGAAACACTGGACTTAAAATGTGTTGAGCCCAAAATCCCTAATGGAGTGAGAAAGGATTGCAGTGTGATCATTCCCCATTTGGGGCAGGGGGTGCTTTCTTGCTTTCACTTTTTCTCCCTTTTCTCTCTTTGTCTCTAGAGAGCATACGTGCCCTCTAGCAAATTGAAAAAAAAAAAAAATTGCTGGGCCATCCTATGGCATGATTCAGGTGGCTAGATTCCACATGGCTGACTGTGCAAGTCGAGTCTGGGACCCAGTGGCTTGAGAAACCTGACAGATGCCTGTGCATGTGTGCCCAAAATCCTAAAAGGAAGAAATGGAAGAGGTGGCATGATGGTTAAGGTGCTGGGCACTCCCACATGACTGACCATGGTTCAAGTCCCAGACCTGGTAGCTTCCTTTTTCCCTTTCTCGCTCTCTGTCTGCCTGTCTGTCTGTCTCTGGTCAAATTAAAATAAATAAATGAATGAATAAATAAAATTAAATAAAAAAATTCTTAAAAAACAAAAAGAAATGGAAGAGAAAGGATTGCAGTGTAATGGATGCCTCATGAGGAGATTCTTTCATACTGACTTTCTCTCTCTGTCTCCAGTGAGCACACGTGCCCTCTGGCAAAAAAAAGAAAAGAAAAAAGAGATGTAATAAAGTATTTTAAATAGTCCTATTCTGAGAGATGTCTCTTTTCTTTCCTTTTCATTTTTTAAAATAATATAGCATATATGTGTGTACAAGAAGGAGGTTGGGGAGAGAAGCCTCCCTCAACAGGGTTTAGTCATACCGTAGTCTCTTTCTCCAGCCCTCCAGTTTCTCAGGATCCTCAGCACCCACGTGTGTGTCTGACATGTTTTCAGGCCAGCAGGGAGATTTAAATCCCCGAAGGCTATGTGACTTCAGCACTACAGACTCTTTATAGGCTGCACCACCTACACTAGGCCTAATGAAGTCTTTAAGAAAACAGTGATCAATGAACTTCAGTGTTCTTTACCGGCAAACAGTTGGCAATTTTTGTTGACCCTTTCCCCCTCCCCTTTTTTTTACTTTATTAGTTAAGGAATCTTAAAATCTTAGAATGATTTCTTAATAAGCATTTGCTCTTTAAAGAGTTGTCTGTTAATTAAATGTGATCAGTTGTATTGAATTGCTGCTGCCAGCTTTTTGTTTCTATAGTGAAGGCTAGTAAGGAAATAATGTGGAGTCATTTTGCCATTCCTTTATAACAAGTTTTTCCTTTTTTAATTAGATTACCTTACAGATTTATTCAGTTTTATTATTTATTTCAATTTGACCAGAGAGAGAAAGGCAAAGTGAGAAAGCAAACCACCAGGTCCAGGACTCAGCATGACTGGCCATGTGAAAGTTCAGTGCCATAACCGCCACACCACCTGCCAGTCCCTATAACAAGTTTTTCTTAAAATTACCCTGGGAATAAGTTTGGTTTTAGTCAACGTTTTAAGTCATGATAGTTTTGGGGGCAGCAGGTGATGTGGTTAAGTCACATGGCCAACCATGGTTTGAGCCCTGGACCTGGCAGCGTAAAAATCACGCTGGGTGCATGCGTGTGGGCCCAGAATTCCAAGAGGAAAAAGGAAGTGAAGGGATTGCGGAATGGCCATTCCCCCTGGAGGTGATTTCGTACTTTCTCTCCAGCAAGTGTGCATGCATTATGGCAAAAACCTACAAAACAAATGATAGTTTCTTAACAGATAATAGATAAATTACTATTTTATACTAATTTTTCTTTATAAAGATAGGAAATATGAAAATATTAAAACTACCTCATAGTTCTTTGATCCAGAATTAGCCACTATTAATTGTTGAGTATATTGTGTGTGTATATGTGTACATGTACAGGCTTTGTACCTAATACATAGAGGGTTAAAGTTTAGTTTTCTTTTCCCATTCCACGTTGTTTTAAAGAGATATTTTTGCTATAGGGTGCATGTGCTCGCTGGAGACAGAGAAAGTGAAAAATCATCCCCCAGGGGATGGCCATGCCATAGTCCTTTCTCCTCTGTTCTCCTCTTGGGATTTTGGGCACGCATGCATATGATGTGAGCTTAAAGCTGCCAGGTCCTAGTCTCAAACTTTGGTTGGCCACATGGGAGTCCAGCACCTTAATCACTATGCCCCTATTCCCCTCCCCCACCCATTGCACTCTTAGGAGAAAATTTTATCTTTACATTTTCTTCACAAATACTTTTTTTTTTTTGGTGGTGGTGGGGAGAGAGGTTTTTGCTACAGGGCGTCAGAAAAACAGAGACAGAGAGACAGAAAGCAAGAAATCACCCCCTGAGAGGATGGCCATGCCGCAATCCCTTCTTCTCTGTTCCCCTCTCGGGATCTCAGGCACACACACACATCTGGCATGAGTTTAAGCCACCGGGTCTGAGACTTGAACCACTGTCAACTACATAGTAGTTCAGTGACATAGACATTACACTAACTACTGGTCCCCACAAATACTTTTTTTTTAAGAGGTTTTTGCTATAGGGCGCGTGCGCTCGCCAGACAGACAGAGACATAGAGACAGAAAGCGAGAAATCACCCCCCAGGGGGGATGGCCACGCCACAATCCCTTCTCCATTCTCCTCTCGGGATCTTGGGCACGCCCGCACACGCGCCCAGTGTGAGTTTTAAGCCACCAGGTCTGGGACGCGAACTGTAGTCGACTACGTGGGAGTGCAGCGACATAGCCATTACGCTAACTGTTGGTTCCCCCCACAAATACATTTTTAATAGCTCTGTCTTATTTCTGCTCTTCCACTGAGGTATACTTGAACTGTTTAAAGTTATGATTGGTATACTTTTTCTATAAAGTGCCAAAGAGTAAATATTCCAGAATTTGTGGGCTGTATGTTCTCTTCTGCAAACTTTTCAACTCTGCCATTGAGTGCAAAACCAGCCTGAAGCATGACAAAAATAAGTATGTGTTCCAGTAAAACTTTTCTTCCAAAACAGAAAGGGCTGGTCCTTGAAATAGTATTTCCTAAATCTTACATTTTGTATCTTGTAGAAAAAAAGCGACAGTTTGAAATGAAAAGGAAGCTTCACTACAATGAAGGACTAAATATTAAATTAGCTAGACAATTAATTTCAAAAGACCTCCATGATGATGATGAAGATGAAGAAATGTTGGAGACTGCAGATGGAGAAAGCATGAACGTTGAAGAATCACATCAAGGTTAGATGTTCTAAAAATGTCACTGAGCCTTTTGTAATTCTCTGCATTAAGATCATAGATAATTTTTGTTACTTCATTTTGCTTTAAACATGCAAACCTCAAACTTTTGCTGAGATTCACTTCATCATTATGTCAGGTTTCTAAAATCTTATGCCCTGTTACCAGTTTCAAAATGATGAAGATAATGTGCAGGATTGATTTAAGACCATATTTTTCATTATATGTGACTTTTTTTGTATGGGTTCCTTGGCTTTAGGCAAGAATATTTGTTTCCATATTAAGCTCTATTTTGTTTTGAATGTTTCGGGTCACATATTATTTGTCATAATCTAAAATTTAACACTATTTTTTTTTTTTTAGCATTTGCTAGAGGGTGTGTGTGCTTGCCTGAGAGACAGAGAAAGAGGGAAAGTGAGAATGCAACCCCCGACCCACTCCCAGGATGGCCTCCCCATAATCCCTTCTCCTCTTGGGATTTTGGGCATGCATACATATACACCTGGTGTGTATTTCAGACCACTGGGTCTGGGACTTGAACTGTGCATTCAGCCATGTGGGATCCAGCTCCCGTAACTTCCATGTCATCTGCTGGTCCCAAAACTGATTCTAAGAAATTTTTTTGAAGAAATGTTTTTCATCGGGAAGTTTGTTTTGACATCCTTTTAAGTACGAGTATGTCATATTTTTCCAGTGGTGATTCTTTTTGACTGTTGAATTGACAAGTTGTTTAACCGACATTTTTTTTCCCATAGTTTTGTATAGCCACCCCCCAGCCTAGGAAATAGATTTTATGTATTTATTTTTGGTAAACTGTTATTCTGGTAGTTAGTGAAGGTGAACCTTTTGTACCACTAGTAAAGATTTTATTGTGCCCATTACCTAATCTTTGTGCTTGCAAATTGGTACTTTTCAGTGGGGGTATAACTTGCTTGTGGTGTCTAGAATGGTTAAGTCTTAGGAAAGTAAATAATTATTATATTACTGTTTTAGTGAACATAGTAAGTAAGACATGATTAATTCTGTGGTACAACCAATGAGTCACTTTCTCATTATAGTGTCAGGATTACAGTATTTTATGTTACTCCATATTGTACATTAGCCTTCGAGTCTATTCGTACAGCATTTTATTTCCAGTGTATTACATGCTAGTCTGTTTAACTTATCTTTAACTTGAACAAAATTCATCTTTTTTTTTTTTTTTGGAGAGGTTTTTGCTATAGGCCGTGTGCGCTCGCCAGACAGAGAGAGACATAGAGACAGAAAGCGAGAAATCACCCCCCAGGGGGGATGGTCATGCGGTCATGCCACAATCCCTTCTCCTCCATTCTCTCAGGATCTTGGCCACACACACACACATGCCCAGCGTGAGTTTTAAGCCACCGGTTCTGGGACGCGAACCGCGGTCGACTACATGGGAGTGCAGCGACATAGCCACTACACTAACCGCTGGTCCCCAAAATTCATCTTAAGTAGCAGTTGATATGTGTCTGTTTTCCTTTTTTTTTTTAAGCTAGTAACTGTTTTTAGATTACCTATCTCCTATTGCCCTGAGGTCTTTGTTTCCTATTTGATGGTTCTTTTTGATGTATTTAAGTTATTCTTCAGTTTTTACTCTGACTTTAAATATCTAATCTCTTAATGATTATGGTAAGGCAACAGGAATACCCCTTGTTTGCAATAGGAAATTTGCACCAGCTACTGTCCCAAAGATTAAAGGGATTTCTTTGTTTTTTAATTCTTTTTTTTTTTTTTTTTTAAGAGAGAGATTTTTGCTATAGGACATGTGTCCTTGTGGAGAGACAGAAAGCGGCAGTCATCCCCCACCCCCATCCTGACAGGGAATAGCCATGCCACAATTCCCTCTCCCCCATTCTCCTTCTGGGATTTTGGGCACACACATACATGTGCCTGACATGAGTTCAAGTCACTGGGACCAGGACTCAAACCATAGTCAGTCATGTGGAAGTCCAGTGATGTAAACCATTAGACCATTTGATGGTCCCAAATTACTTTTTCCATAAACAAGAGAGGCAGGGTGAGAGAAAAACAGAGAGACAGCACTACTGACAGGTCAAGACACCATAGTCCAGTTTCAGCCAGCCCTGGATCATAGGCGTGCACCTGGCCAGCACACTCAGGTGCACCTCAGAACCTTCCCACTGGCATCACCTGGACAGAGCATCGTGTTTTACCACTGCGTCCTCGTCCCGCCCCCTTTCTTTTTTTTAAGACATAACTTTTGAAAAACAGCTTTCACTTTTTGTCCATCTCTGCTTGTGAGACATTAAATTTCACATATTTAATACATAATTTGTTTAAGCATAATAGATTATTAGAGTTGGTATTATTAGCTCAGTGCCTGATTTTTCTTCAATGGAGATGAAATACTCTACATAGGAATATATCCTGCCCAGCATCATAAAGTCTTAGAGGATAGGAAAGACTATATAATAAGGCACAGAGAAATAGCTTCTTATTTATTCCCTACCATTTTGGTGACTTAAATTTTTTTTGCCAGCTTTTAAAATCTACAGGTCTTAATAGAACCCATTACTTTTCCAACACTGGCAACCTCTTCCACCTTTCCTCTCCACTTTCCACCTGAGTTTGTGTGTGTGTTTAATATTTTTTTTCTGCCTGTTTTATTGTTATTTTTATCAAGATAAAATTGTCATGTTTAGACCATGCAGTATTTTATGGTGTTGAGGTTATAAATATAAATCTTACTACATTGGATCCTCAGGAAAATCATGATGCATTTCTGCATAGAATGACTTTTCCAACAACCCAGTATTTTTAGAGGCTTGAATCGTAATGAACTCTTTACTTTGCACCAGTGATTTATTCTGAAACGTTCAGTCTGACACCTGTTTTACCTGTCACCAGTAGACACTCTTATTCTGCTCTTTAGAATATTTAGACAGGTACACAGGTTCTTTCCTATCAGTCTAATTCAGCCTCCGTGAAATATACTTTATTTGTATTTAAAATTTTTGCATTTATTTATCATTCATGCCTATGGAAGGGAACCTACAGCTCAAGTAGGTGGTTCCAGGTTAGCAATAATATAAATAAATCATGTTGACACTTTTTTCTTTTCTTTGCAGGATCTACTACAAGTGACCAACAGCAAAACAAATCACAAAATTCATAGAAGCAATTTGTTAAAACAGTGCAATTGTTTGTCAGATACAGACCTTGTTACTATGATACACTGCTTCTTGTTCTCCACAGTTCATGACTAAGTACCAAAATGCATACCAGTTACATATTGCCAAGAATTAAATGATAACCTTAGAGACTGAAAATGCCTAATTGATACATATATTCTTGTGCCTAGTATTTCATAAATACAGTGTAATGTCATCAGTCCAAAATTGTGTTACTTTTGTAAGAACACTGGTTAATTTGTATAAGATATTATATAGCTTTTTATGCTTTAGAGGTTAAGTAGTATCTTTTAAGGGGGGAGGGGAACTAATTTATTTTCATCACATCTACATGTGGTAGCTCTTATAAAAAGTTTGTTGTTGTTTTTCCCAAGCAAAAGCCAGTTGGAACAATAGGATATATATAGACTGATGAATATTCAGGCTGAGAAGTATTTTAACCCTGTCTTCAACTTAATTTTCCCGTTTAGTTAAAAGGATTATAAGAATTACTGTTATGTTTTCTGGCCTCCTACTTACAAAATTTGTGGAGTTTCTTTGTGTTTACAAGGAAAGAATTGAAATTTTTCTCATGAAAACTAGCTTTTTTTCCCCTACAAATTAGCAGGATAAACGTGCACTAACATCGCTGGGTTTTTTGTTTTGGTTTTGGTACACTGGGCATACTTCAGAATCGTTTTTTAAATAAATGCAATTGTAATTTAGCTATCTTAGCATTCCCTTTATGTAAATGTCTTTTAACCCCTGCTTTTGTTTCTCACTCCTTTCCATACACACACACACACACACACACACACACACACACAATCCTCTTTGCCTTTTAAAGAATCGTAAAGGTTGTCATGACTTTAGGAACTCTTCTTTTCCTCACATAATCTGTTATTTTCAATAATGAAATTCTTATTTTGACCATCAATGCCTATTAATTCTTCTAGTGCTTGAAGGATGTAGATTGAGTAGCGGAATACAGGCAGGAAGTACAGTTTAACTGCTGAATCACTGTACCTCCCTGATTTATAGCTCACTAATTAAATCACTGTTATCTGTTTGACTTAATTAGACCTTCGAGAATAATTAAATGATGGTTTTTTTGTTTGCATGATGAGAGAATTGTGTGCAACTAGTGCTATGATTGCTCCTGAATGTACAGACGGAAGTAAGCCTGAACATTTTTTAATTTAAAAAGTTTAAATAGTCCCTGCCTTTAAGGGAATATGATAATGTATACTATGACAAATGTACTTTATTCTTCTAACACAGTAAGAATTATTTGGAGATTTTTCCTGAAATGAAGTGCAGTTCCTGTGTATCTTGGTTTAGTAATGGTTTCATTTCTAGTCAATTATTTGTATCTTAATTTTTTATTAGTTCCAAAAGAATCCACTATATGAACAGACTTTTTAAATAATTTCTGTATATTATATATATTAAATGGCTTTTATTGAACAGCTTATCTTCCACTTGCAAGTTTATGAAAATATCAATATGTCAAAATAAATAAAAAGTGGGAGAACTCTTTGCTGTTAGAAGAATGTACTTGTTCTGATTGTCTTATTTTACCCCCCAATGGTACCTAATCATAGTGCATCTGAACTGTAGGTACAGTATTCTAATTAAACATTTTAATTAGTAATACCACCCATTTATAAACAAGACAGTGTTTATCTCTCTGAATTTAGAATATTGGGGTTATCTTATCTGTCTAAACTTACTTTGAGTGATGTGGAGATTAAGACTAAGCACGTGTACACATGTTCATTCACCCAAACCTCTGTTTTTTGGTTTTCTCATTTTTGAGTTCCTAGAAAGTATCCACATACTTTCTTTATAGCAGTGGTTCATGTACAGTGAAGAAAGCTAAGATCTGACAGATGATCTTTTAGTGTTTTCTACAAACTTAAGGTGGTCTCCTAGCTTAACAATGGTTCAACCTAAAATTTGCCACTTCATGAGCGATGTGTATTCAGTAGAAACCATACAACCATTCTGCTCTTCACTTCAATACAGTATTCAATAAACTGTGTGACATAACCAGCCCGTTGATATAATAGACTTGTGTTAGGTGATTTTACCCAACTCATTCAAGTGTCTGAGCATGTTCAAGATGAGTAGGCTGAGCTACGATGTTCGGCAGGTTAGGTGTATTGAGTGCATTTTCAACTTAACAATGTTTTCAATTTATGATGGGATTGATCAGGATATAACTTTATCATAAATAAAGAATATTTGAAACTTAAATGACAAGCAAAACTTATTTCTGGTTTCAGAAAGCAGGTAATTCTCTCAGAGAATTAAGGCATGCCAGAGCAGGCTGACTGTCTAGCACATTGATTAAGCCTGCACAGAAGAAGCCACATTCCACATGACCAACTCGAGTTTGAGTCCCAACCCTGGCACCTGGAAAAATATGCCAGGCACTTGTGTGCATGCTTAGGCTCTCCACACTCAGGATCCTGAAGGGATGAAAAATTGGAGGAAAGAAGATTGCATTTCAGCAGGCTATTTTCATCAAGTCTCACGTTCCCCGTGGTACGGTGCTGGACTAGTCAAAACATGAACCTCGTGCTGGTCCCGAGTGCCGTGATTAAGCGCTGTGCAGACAGAGCTGGCCTCAGAGCTGACCAGGATTCAATCCCTGGTCCCATGGGCTTGAAAAACACACTGGCTGCATTCACACTCAGATTCCTGGCAAGGTGGAATATTGGAGGAAAAAGGATTGTGGTGTGACTAGGCCCCTTTGTATATACCTTTGGCATAAACAAAATGCATTACCTCTGGCATAAAAAAAAAATTATGATTTGAGTTAGATTTTCCTTTGAAGAAAGGTGTCTGTAATGTTTAGTTCTAGCTAAACATTTAGTTTTACTTTCAACTTTATAGTCAGTATCACTTCTTTTTAACGCTCCAGTGTCATCTATTTATCCATTTGTCAATTTAAAAATCAAAAGAGCTCTTTAAAATCTGAGACTTAATGGTATAAAGATTGTTAAAAATAAGAGTAACCCTAGGGTGACGATTAAAGCAAAATGCCATTTTTCCCTAGTTTCATTTTGTTTTTCATTTTTTTCTCTTCAAATTTATATGCACTACACATATTGTAATAAAATACAATAATAGGACAATTGCCTGTGTGTGGATTTTATTTTCTTTCTACCCAGCTAACTCATCCCATATTCTATTGGAATTCTGAATATGGGGAGCGAATCTTGTACTACATTGTGTCTGAGTAGGTTGCTGTGTTAGAAATGATGATGGGTCAGCACATGGCGTGCAGATTAAGGCACTGGATCCTATATGGCCAACAGCGGTTCGAGCCCCAGACCCAGTGGCTTGAAAGTCATGCTAGGTGTGTGCACGTGCATGCACAAAATCCTGGTGGTAGAATGGAGGAGAAGGGATTGCAGAAGGGCCATCTAGGATCCCTGCTCCCAGGAATTGATTTCTTTCTTCCCCTCTGTCTGTCTTTGGCGAGAAAATGCACTCTATAGCAAAACCCAAAAGAACCATGACAAAAACTACTGATGGTTGAGAATCTATTTGCTCTTGCCCAGCCTTGTGCTAGGTCCCTTATTTCAAATTGTTGAAACCACCATCCAAAGCAGGCGTCCCCATCTGTACTTCATAAGTGAGGAAAGTGCTTTCGGACGTTACTCGGTTTCGTTGTCTCACACATGGCAAATAACAGAATTCAATTTCATATCTAAATTTCATGATCTTTACCCATGTTTTTGTTTGTCATTTTAGTTTGCTGTAGGGTGTGCACTCACCAGAGAGAAGGAGGGTAAGAAATCACCCTCTAGGGGTGTCGGCCACACCTCAATCCTCCTCCATTCCCCGAGCCCCTGGCATGTTTTCTGTGGGCTCCAGCTGCCTTCACCACCATGTCACCTGCTGACCCCTCTCCATGTTTTTTTAGATTTAGAACATTCTTTTTAGAAATTACATCTTACAGAGAAACTATTTGGATTATTGATGCATACCATGTACTTGAGGAGTAACTGGGTTTTTTCCTTTTGTTTTTAATGACCACAGGGCGAGTGTAGTCGCCAGAGAGAGGGAGACAGAAAGCACCCTCAAATGAAGTGTAGCGATACCACAGTCTCCTCTTCCTTTCTCCATCTTGGGATTTTGAATACATGTGCCCAGTGTGTTAAGCTTTTGGGTCAGTATTTGGACCACGGTTGGCCATGTGGGATTTGGCTTCCTTTACCACCAGACTACAGAGCTGGCCTGGAGTAATACTTTCTGAGTGTTTGGTTTGAATTTCTGTTTGTTACTTGAATCTGAAAAATGGAAAATAATTTTATTTCAGGGTTAGTATATAATTTATGAGAAGTATCTCAAAAGCATAGTCAATGGCTGGAGAGTCTAGATGCGTGGGATCTGGCCCGCCGGGGTG